GGGTAAGAAGCAATAGATTTTAATTGGTGCCTAGGGGTAAAGGTCAACTCTCTTGGAACAATGGGCGTCTATGGTGGTAATTGACTGCGTCCTCCTTGGGAGTTTGTAAATGTCAGTAATGCACTTTCAAATAGAAGCAGGAAGGGCTTGGGCCCTGGAAACAGAGACAGCAGTAACCAGTTGAGAAAATATGTAAATCTGCTGGTTAAATAATCATAAAGCATAAAAGGTGAGTACACACAAACACACCACAAAAGGTTTCAAAAGCAGACTGCTTCCCGTATCAGACAAGTGCCTTCTTGAGGTCCAGTGTCTTTTTTTCCCAGCAGATGTGCTTAGTCACTCAATTGTGTCTGGCTCTGTGGGACCCCACAGACTGTAGTCCGCCAGGCTCCTCTGTCCATGGGATTCTCCAGTGAAGAATACTGGAGTGGGTTGCCATGCCCTCCTCCAGGGGATCTTCCTGACCCAGGAATCGAACCCAGGTCTCCCACACTGCAGGTGGATTTTTTACCGTCTGAGCCACCAGGCAAGTCCAGCAGAAGTTCGGCTCTTTTCCTAGATGCCTCTGAAATTCAAACACTCTGATTATTTGAGTCAAACTGGATGGGTGGTTTGGCTCCTAAAGCTAAAATCATCCTTGTGAAATTGGGGTTACTGGAGAGGAAAGCATCAGCATTTATTATCGCTGTTTTTTCAAGAGAGTTTTTAGTCCCTTTTTAAAAGTAGTGGCAAAAAAGATGAACAACTACTAATTGAAACACCAGCATTGCCTGCCAATCCCCCAAATCAGAAGGACCTGACTGAGCCCCCTTGACTATTTAGACTGCTTCTCTTATGGCCATGTTTCACTGGATTCTTCTCATTTTGTTAGGGGAAGCACACATTGAAACCGCCCACCCCGGCCAGGCACCATAGTAACCATTTGTATGAGTTGTTTTATGACAGGAGATCCTGGTAAGGAATACAGAACTAATAAGCCACCACCAATCAGAAGAGTTCGGGATAGGTCAAAAGGAGACACCACATGTCCGTCCACTTCCCAGAATCCCTCTCGCTAGCATCCATCTTGGCTGAGCGATGCGTGCGCCACCAGGAGAGATTCTGAATTAGAATGATTGGCCAAAGACCACCCGGAAACTAATCTCATCACCATAAAACCCGAGACTGTGAGCCACACGGCAGAGCAGTTCTCCTGGGTTCCCTCACCCTCCTGCTCTCCACCCGGGTGCCCTTCCCAATAAAATCTCTTGCTTTGTCAGCACATATGTCTCCTCGGATAATTCATTTCCGAGTGTTAGACAAGAGCCCAGTTTCGGGCCCTGGAAGGGGGTCCCCCTTCCTGCAACAGTTTCACCATCATCCCCCAATATTCACCAACTCCCCTGATCTGGGTGCTTTCCTAAGTGTTTAATAAGTTTCCTATATTTTTTAAATCAACTATTAGGTTAAACAATGTTTCAAAGCAGCATTGTAAGGAGCACTTCTAAGATGCAAAATATAAGGCATATAAAATATATTATCAGATTATTGAGATTTCAGGAAGCCAAAGGTACAGTGCCTAAACCAATGCCAACCCCATACTCATCTCTACCTGCCTGTCTTTGCAGACAGGGCCCTGCTGTATGCATGTTTGCATTTCTACTGCCTGCCTGGACATGCATGCTAAGTCACTAAGTCATGTCCGACTCTTTGCAACCCCATAGACTATAGCCCACCAGGCTCCCTTGTCCATGGGATTCTCCAGGCAAGAATACTGGAGTAGGTTGCCATTTTCTTCTCCAGTTGATCTTCCCGACCGAGGGATCGAAACCACATCTCCTGTGTTTCCTGCACTGGCGGATGGATTTTTTTTTTTTTTTTTTTACAACTGAGCCACTGCCTCTGTGGTTATCTACTGCCTTCAGTTCAGTTCTGTCGCTCAGTCATGTCTGACTCATTGTGACCCCATGAACCGCAGCATGCCAGGCTTCCCTGTCCATCACCAACTCCCGGAATCCACCCAAACCAATGTCCGTTGAGTCGATGATGCCATCCAACCATCTCATCCTCTGTCGTCCTCTTCTCCTCCTGCCCTCAAACTTTCCCAGCATCAGGGTCTTTTTCAATGAGTCAGCTCTTCGCAACAAGTGGCCAAAGTATTGGACTTTCAGCTTCAACACCAGCCCTTCCAATGAACATTCAGGACTGATTTCCTTTAGGATGGACTGACTGGATCTCCTTGCAATCCAAGGGACTCTCAAGAGTCTTCTCCAACACCACAGTTCAAAATCATCAATTCTTTGGCCCTCAGCTTTCTTTATAGTCCAACTCTCACATCCATACATGACCACTAGAAAAACCATAGCCTTGGTCATCATAACTNCATAACTTTCCTTCCAAGGAGTAAGCGTCTTTTAATTTTATGGCTGCAATCACCGTCTGCAGTGATTTTAGAGCCCCAAAGAATAAAGTCTGACACTGTTTCCACTGTCTCCCCATCTATTTCCCATGAAGTGATGGGACCGGATGCCATGATCTTAGTTTTCTGAATGTTGAGCTTTAAGCCAACTTTTTCACTCTCCTCTTTCACTTTCATCAAGAGGCTCTTTAGTTCTTCTTCACTTTCTGCCATAAGGGTGGTGTTATGTGCATATCTGAGGTTATTGATATTTCTCCCGGCAATCTTGACTCCAGCTTGTCCTTCCTCCTAGCACTCAATAATTGTTGGTACAAATAATTATGTTTTTTTTGTTGTGAATGTCATGACTCTCTGTAATACTGGTCTACTTCACTGGTCAATCTAAGCCTTCTCATGATGTTTTTCTGATCATTCCAGACTACAGTCCTCTCCAGATTCTTCAGGCCTTTGCCATCTGTACCACGCAATCCATCATCTTCTATCCAGCACTGTCCGTTAAGTGCATCCTCATAAAGGGAATGCAAACTCCATAAGGGCAATGTGAAGTTCACACTCTTTATTTTTTTAATTCACCAATACACTTATACTTTTTCCTGTAGTCATGTATGGATAAGAGACTTGGACTATAAAGAAAACTGATCACCAAAGAATTGATGCTTTTGAACTGTGGTGTTGGAGAAGACTCTTGAGAGTCCCTTGGACAGCAAGGAGATCCAACCAGCCCATCCTAAAGGAAATCAGTCCTGAATATTCTTTGGAAGAACTGATGCTGAAACTTCAAATCTTTGGCCACCTGATGTGAAGAGCTGACTCATTTGAAAAGACACCTGATGCTGGGAAAGATTGAAGGCGGGAGGATAAGCGGATGACAGACGATGAGATGGTTAGACAGCATCACCAACTCAATGAACATGAATTTGAGTAAACTCCAGTAGTTGGTGTTGGACAGGGAGGCCTGGCAAGCTGCAGTCCGTGGGGTCGCAAAGAGTCGGACACGACTGAGTGACTGAACTGAACTGAACACTTGCAAAGAACTGAGTACAAGCCAAGGTGTTCAATAAAATATGTCAATTGATTTCTTAAATTTGTACCTCCAAACCTCATCAATATTTCTGTCTGACCAATAGTTGAGATAAGTGCTGAATATATCAAATTTATAAGGTAAATTTTAGTTTTATTAATTCAATTTTAATAATGTCATCCTTGCCTGTTTATTGATTTTATAAAGACAGGTGAAAATTTATAATAATTGAAAAACTTATATTATGTTAGAATTCTAATTTAATTGGGTCATGAGGACTTTAATTTTGGTTTGACTAGTCAGCATAGTCATATATAAATGGAAGTTAGCATGTTAACATAGGTACAGATAGTCAAAATAAGCACATGCTTACCTATTTAATATCTGCAAATCAATCAATGCTATGTATGCACTGTTACCTGTGAACACTGGTTTCTCACAACACACACACTGAAAGACACGCTTCATCTTCTTTTTCCCTTCCCCTTTAACAAATATTTGCTCCTCTGTGAAGCCTTTCTTGGGTCCCCAAAATAGAGTTCTATGTACATAACTCTTATGATTCATAACTTCTATGCTATAGTTGACTGTTTATATACTCATCTCCTCTGCCAGACGGTACAATCCTAAAGAGCAAAGACAAAGTCTTCTATTTCTATTCTGCTTCCTAGTTCTTAAAAAAGATATAGCACATTATAGTCATTTAATAAGATTGGCTGAGTTGCCAAATGATAGCATCAGGCATGACCATATAATTTGAAACAGATAAAAATGAGAACAATGAGACTAACTACTTGCTATGTGTCAGGCACTGTTCTTCTCGCTTGTTATAACTCTTCTCCTAACTATCAATAACTCTTGATATGGACACAATCATTTTATTTTAGAGATAAGGAAACAGTATTGCGGTGAGGTTAATAACAAATAAACCAACAATGAAATCTTGTCTAAGTGTACCTACCTAGCATGTGGCCTGTTGCTGCTGCTAAGTTGCTTCAGTCATGTCCGACTCTGTGCGACCCCATGGACTGCAGCCTACCAGGCTCCTCCATCCATGGGATTTTCCAGGCAAGAGTACTGGGGTGGGGTGCCATTGCCTTCTCGGGTATGTGGCCTAGCTGGAATTTAAAGTCAGTCAGAGCAGCTTCAGGGTGCATTAGATTAACTATTACACATGACTAATGACTCTATTAGGGCTTCCCAGGTGGCACTAGTGGTAAAGAACCCGCCTGCCAGTGCAGGAGATGTAAGAGATGCAGGCTTAATCCGTGGGTTGGGAAGATCCCCCGGAGAAAGGCAGGGCAACCCACTCCAGTATTTTTGCCTGGAGAGAGGAACCTGTCGGTCTATAGCCTGTGGGGTCGCAGAGTCCGACACAACTCTGCTAAGCAAAAATTCACAATGACTGCCTTCACATGACAAAGTGTAGCTCCATGGTGACTGAAGATAGATGCTGAGTTGAAGCACCTGACAAGTGCAGAAACCAGCAGGTGTCCACATACATAGACGAGGCCATTCCACAGAGGGATGGGGAGCAGCTAAGGGAGACAGCATTAAAAGGACAAAAGTTCGAAGCGCGGGTCTGGCGGACCGCGGGGGCGCGCGAAGACCACGAGGCGACCGGGAGCGGCTGGGTCCCCGGCGGCGTGCCCCTAGACCGGGCCAAGAGCCCAGTCGGTGCACCCAGCCGAGCGCGGTCCGCCTCCCTCCCAGAAATCAGCCGTCCGGAGCGTGACCAGAGGGCATGCCGGATCCACCAGAGGCGCCGCCGCCTGCGCTGGCAGGCCGCGGGTGAAAAAGAAAGCACGGCCTCACTCGGCCCGGAGCGAAGAGGTGACCCGGAGCGAAGAGGTGGCCCGGAGCGAAGAAATGGCGGCAGCCGGGCTCAGCGTGACCGTCACCCACAGCAATGAGAAGCATGATCTTCAAGTTACCCCACAAGAAGGCAATAGTGAGCCAATTGTCCAAGATCTGGCCCAGGTTGTTGAAGAGGCTACAGGGGTTCCGCTGCCCTTTCAGAAACTCATATTTAAAGGAAAATCTCTGAAGGAAATGGAGATGCCATTGTCAGCACTTGGAATACAAAATGGTTGCCGGGTTATGTTAACTGGGAAAAAGAACAGTCCGGAGGAAGAAGCTGAGCTAAAGAAGCTGAAAGATTTGGAGAAATCTGTGGAGAAGATAGCTGACCAGCTGGAAGAACTGAATAAAGTCCTTGCTGGAATCCAGCAGGGTTTTCTGGCCAAGGATTTGCAAGCAGAAACTCTCTGCAAACTCGATAGGAGAGTAAAAGCCACGATCGAGCAGTTTATGAAGATCTTGGAGGAGATTGACACACTAATTCTGCCAGAAAATTTCAAAGACAGTAGAATGAAAAGGAAAGGTTTGGTGTAAAGGATTCAGGCCTTCCTAGCTGAGTGTGACACAGTGGAGCAGAACATCTGCCAGGAGACGGAGCGACTGCAGTCCACGAACTTGGCCCTCGCTGACTCAGGTGAGGCAGAGAAGGCCGTGCTGCAGTGAAGAACAGCCCCACCAGCTCTGCCATCTCTGGAGCAGAAGTTACCCGCCTTTCCCAGAGCTGCTGGGGGCAACTGGCCCATTACCTTTTCCTTCTCTCACACCTGCTCTCAATGAACAAGTATCGTACATACAGTCTTTAGCCTCCTGTCAGCTTCTTGTTCTGTCTCTGTGGATCTGTGCTGTCTAGCAGCCCACCTTGTCTGGAGAGTGCCCCCTTACCAAGTCTTCCCAGCTGTTTGGACCTTTGGGTGCTTTCTTTGGGCTGGTGAGAGCTCTTATGTATCCTGAGGTAGTTCTGAGTTTATTGGCCATTTTGGTCTTCAGATCCATGAGGGCTTTTTGTGCTTATGATCCCATAAACCTGTCTGTGTAAACCAGAATCACCAGGAGCCCTTGTCTGGTGAGGACAGTCGGGAATGGGTCAGAACAGGTAGCATGAGTGTCTCTCACGTGACCTGATTCTGAAACAGCTGACTGGTTGTGGGTTCATGACCCCTGTCCTCAGCTCCCAGTGACCCTGATCAGCCATAGGTCATGAGATCTCTGGTTCATTCCTGGAGTTGGGCCTGTTGTTGATATATGGACTGCCTTGCTCCCAAGCAAATCTCTAGAAGGTTAGAACCCAGAGTTGACTAAGTCTCCGCTTGAAACCAGGTCAGAACCCTGGCTTACGAGGGGCAGTGAGGAGGGCCAGAGTGAACACATCAGGCAGGTAGTAAGGGCAGCCATAAACCTCTCAGAAGTTCCTTCAGAGGTGGTGTTGTGAGCCATCCCCTTCTGAAATCTACATTTTCTTCAAGTTACTTTGAGGTTGTTTCTGTCTGTTTCGTGGTCCTTTCCCCCTTCATTTGTTATTTAAAAAATAAAGCAGTTTATATACACATCAGCAAGCAGAAGAGTGTTAAAACTTTTTTTTTTGACTTACCATACAGCATGTGGGACTTAGTTCCTGACCAGGCATCTAACCCATGCTCCTGCATGGAGTTGTAACCACTAGTCCACCAGGGAAATCCCAGAAGAGTGTTTAAACATTTTTTTCTTTTTGGTAGATAAAGTATGAGAAACAGATGCCTTCTGAGATTCTAATCCAGAAGTCAGTAGTGGTGTACATACTTCAGTGGCCTCTTAAATGGGTCAGCTGATGTTACCCCCATTTTTCACACAGTGCCCAGGAGAAAAATTCCTAAAGGCCACTCTGAGGCCAATCTTATCTGGCAGAGAGGGCGTCGGTGAAACCCCAGGAATTTAGGGCTATGTGGGTGGGGCCGAGGACAAAGTGGNTAATGACTCTATTAGGGCTTCCCAGGTGGCACTAGTGGTAAAGAACCCGCCTGCCAGTGCAGGAGATGTAAGAGATGCAGGCTTAATCCGTGGGTTGGGAAGATCCCCCGGAGAAAGGCAGGGCAACCCACTCCAGTATTTTTGCCTGGAGAGAGGAACCTGTCGGTCTATAGCCTGTGGGGTCGCAGAGTCCGACACAACTCTGCTAAGCAAAAATTCACAATGACTGCCTTCACATGACAAAGTGTAGCTCCATGGTGACTGAAGATAGATGCTGAGTTGAAGCACCTGACAAGTGCAGAAACCAGCAGGTGTCCACATACATAGACGAGGCCATTCCACAGAGGGATGGGGAGCCGCTAAGGGAGACAGCATTAAAAGGACACAAGTTCATTAAGCGCAGGCAGTGGCGATAATATTTGAATCTGACACTGGGGAGCTGGGGAGCCTGGATCTAGGCCTGCCACTCCTCCACACTTGAGTCTAAATTGCTTTTCCTTCCTGGCAAAACCAATTTCAGCCACAGCCATCAACATCTTTTCCACCTTTGAAAGTACTTAGGAAGAGCAGAGAGATAAAGGTAAATTGTACTCCCTCTAAAAATCTTAATAAGTTCCTAGTGAATGAGCCAGACCTCCTTTCTCATACATCTCAAGACATTCTTAATCTACTGCTGAAAATACATATGATTTTATTATTTCTTTTTTCTTCAACCTTATGAATTCACTGTGCTTTTACTACCTTTCTCTCATCACCATTTTGTTTTCTAAATGCTTTGCACTAACCTCTACCATCATCCCTCTGAGCTTAATGCCTGAGTCTTTCCCCCTATAACTTTTCTCTTATCTGTGAGAGACAGTGGACTCAGGCTGTTTTATTTTCCCCCATTCTATACTATTTGGATTCATCTGCAATCATTCTTTTCTCCACAACAGGTATGCTCATTTCCTGGCTGGGAGATGCTGTCAATCATGAAGACACTTAGTATTCCAGTCCCCAAGCAAGCACACACAACCCCAAGCAGGTAAAGAAGGGACTGCTTTGGTACAGGCATCAGACTGTATACACTGTACTATCGGCCTTTTTGCCTAAGAAGATCGTAGTCCATCTTGTACCAACAAGTTATGGTATTTTGTCCTGTGAAACCTATTTTAAGTAGTTGACTTGGAGGGTTATGGAACGAGAAACATGTTAGCAGCTAGGGACCCAGCACAATGAGAGGTGGAATCCTAGAAGAACAGAGGGAAAAACTATCAAAAGAAGATTTGGTCAAGAGGAAGGTCAGGTCAGAAAAAGGAATTGTTTAAATGAAAGCAATCCAGCTCCTGAGGCTAGAGGTATTCTTTTAGTTTCTCCAGGGAAGAAAAAAAAAGTAGTGGTTTTATTAAAGATTCATCAACATTGACTCTGTTTTTCCTGACAGCACCAAAAGAAAGCTTGAAGTAGATCTGATATACTGGAGTGAAACATCCCCACCCTAGTAAATATGGCACATTTCCTGTAGCAGCGGGCATTCATCTCCATCCATCAGGAGAGCAGCAAGGGCTATTCACGAGAAACAAATGTTCTAGATAGAGTGTGTCAAACACCAAATGATGGAAACCTCTGAGAAACCACAGGGAGCATGCAGGAAGCAAACAGACCAGAATGTTGAAAAGACCTCTGACCATTTTCCACAGCACAGCATAACTTGGAATCAACCTGAAATAATGCATCTGACCTTCATAAAAGGGTAATGGATGGGCATTTAACATTAGGCCAGTCAGACTTCAGAGAACAAGAATTCTAATAAGGACAGATGATGAGTCAAAAGTAAATAAATAAGGAGGTAGATAACTAAATAAAAAAAGATCTGCTCCCCAAAGAAGGTTAAGCAGGTAGCCTATTTGGCATATTTGAAGGATTACCAGCCTCTGATATAGGTTGGTTTTCATTTTTGAGAAAACTTCTGTCCACAGGCCCACAGAAACAACTATCTTCCGTGACCCATTCATTGGTATAAAAAGCATACAGTTTCCAGATTATTCTTACTTTATATTTCAAGATTAATTCAGGCTATCTCTATTCTCACTAAATACATGTTAAAAAGGAATAACACCAAAAGACAGAGTTCTATTTCCCCCACTTTGGGAAAGAAATATCACCTGAAGTCAACTAGAAGGCATTACCTAAACTTAGAAATGATTGACCTCTGGGTATTTATAGGGCTTCCCCTGTGGCTCAGATGGTAAAGAATTCACCTGTCATGCAGGAGACCTGGGTTTGACCCCTGGGTTGGGAAGATTCCCTGGAAAAGGGAACAGCTACCCACTCCGATATCCTTGCCTGGAGAATCCCATGGACAGAGAAGCCTGGCAGGCTACAGTCCATGGGGTCGCAAACAGTTGGACACAACAGAGCAACTTTCACTACACTCACTACTGGGTACTTATAACCATTCTACTTGTTTGAAATCTAGCTAGTTACTTTAATGTGGCTAATAAACCTCTGAATTATAGCATCAACATTATAAACTCACCTTTATACAGATATGTTAGTTGTTTCCTTTTAGATCAGTGATTCAAAAATATTTAATGTATCAGATGCTTATTATATGTGACAGACACAACATCTTACAAATGAGGAATAATAAATATTATTATTATTTATTTTTATTTAATTATTTTATTTACTTATTATTTATTTATTTTATGTTTATTTATTTATTATTATTTATTAATATTATTCTTAATTATGCAAGAAGCTTCTTTCTAAGAACAACAAAATGATATGCATTGCTACTTAAAGCTTCATGAAATAAAACAGTGAATTACTAGTTAACCTGGTAAGTTTTGGAAAACTAGACACATTCTAAATCTGCCTTTCTTTTATTTCCTTTTTAAATTAGTGTTAGACAGAGATAAAAGTCAATAAAAATCAACTGTGTACCTACTCTGTGCCACACTGTGTTAAAATAAAAAAGACTGGTTTGATTAGATTTTTAAATCTATGAATGTTATCATAAGTGCTTTGATTTCTATAAAATAGTACAAAGTATATGGCTGTTTCAAATGTAGTTCCACATACAGAGGGGGAATGGCTTAGATCAGTGGTTTCACTGTTCTCTTTTTTGTTTCTGTCTTACCACTGTGTTCTGTGGATCCCAGGAGTCCCAGACGGCTGCACAGGGCCACCTTGGCGTGACAGGGGAGTTTGCAGGTGGGCACTGCTCCTGGCGCTCTGCCCATTTCAAACAGAGCACTTTACACTTATTATTCTGTAGCTTATTTGAAACCCAGGGGCCTGGACGACTGTTGGAACGTCACCCAGAGGAAAAAAATGTAGATATGGCATGCTTTCTTGGATTTGGTTTGATTTTTGAAGGCTCAAGAAAAGAACAGAACAATGTTTGATGGACTGAAACAGTATAAACACTCAGCTATACCCAGGAAGGATCAAAGGACGCGATCTCCCCCTTGCTCCCTTTAGCCATCATTGCCCAGGCTAAATGCAGGCAAGCTAGTATTTGTTTCAAAAAAAGAAAAAAAAACTACAGCAAAGTCACTTCTACTGAAGTCTGGAAAATACAACTTCCGTTCTGTTTCTGGATTCATGCGTTGTACTTCTTTATGAATGAAACATACATTATTTTTTAAAAGATTAGAGGCAAATGCATGATCTTGTGTACAAAGGGACAGATAAAAGAGTTAGGGTAGAATGAGCAAGTGTTGCCTGTCTGCCAAGGGAAATGCCACGCACCCCCTTTGATGTATTATACAATACACTTGCTCCCCTCGGCCTCACCAGATAATGCCAAGTGAGTGCTATGCAAAGTCCTGGAATTTTAAATATTAATCATGCTCTTCTTGGCTAGAAAAGATAAAATTATATACAAAATTATAAAAAAGATAAAACTATGACTTAGAAATTATTAAAACCTACAGGGATTTTTTTTTTCCTTTTAACTGTCCTCA